CCGATGAACTTTCACCGTCTTGAGCGTAATCCGGTCGTTTTCCCGATACGTATCGGTGCACTTTAACTTTTTGCATCGATAATTCACCTTTGAAAGGATAAGAAAATTAGATTAAAAATTACGTGAGAAATTAGGTTACCTTTTTCATTTCTGATGGGAATTGCACCCGCTGTGCTTTGAATACCAAATGTTGTTTGGGGGTTCATCATTGTTTTTGAGAAAATGGAAAATTTCTTAAAGAAAATATGTAAATAATTTATTGACGTTTGTTTTTTGACAGATTGAGGTTAGAAGTGTTACCAACATAAAAGTGGAGGTGATAAAATGATTAAAATTAAGTTCAAAATGCGTAATATTTATTAAAGGCACCTAAAAAAATGAGTTTAAATAATAGAAATAGTTTTTGGCACTCTATAAAAATAAACTAATAAAGAAAAATTTGTTTGAGCAATTTCTTAGTAAAATTTAGCTTTATTACAGTTTCCTTCCTCGAAATTAACTCCATTTTTAATACAGCCATTTAATTTAATTTTATCTCATCTTAGTATTCAATAAAATTTTTTTCTAATTGTCGCATTCTCTCTTCAGCTTCCAATAATTGCTTGAATGGCTTTATTTATTTATTAAAGTATATCACTACCATATCAATCCTTTTTTTCAAAATTCAAAGATTAATAAAGTATTTTAGAACTTTCCCATGTTATTTCTAGATTCTTATAAGTAAGACTTGGATCTGATAAGTTCATTATATGCATTAAAACATTTTGAAAACCATTTCAGTTTCACTTTAACTTTTTGCATCGCTAATTAACCTTTGAAGAGATGAGAAAATTAGATCAAAAATTAAGTGAGAAATAAGGTTACCTTTTTCATTTCTGATTGGAATTGCACCCGCTGTAATTTGAATTCCAAATGTTGTTTTTGAGAAAATGTGAAAATATATAGTTTATTGACGTTTGTTTTTTGACAGATTGAGGTTAAAAGTATTACCAACATAAAAGTAAAGGTGATAAAATGATTAAAATTAAGTTCAAAATACTTAATATTTATTAAAGGCACCTGAAAAAATGAGTTTAAATAACAGAAATAGTTTTTGGCACTGTATAAAAATAAACTAACAAAAAAAAATTAGTTTGAGCAATTTCTTATTAAAGTTAATTAATTTTTAGTCATTAACACTAGAACAAGCTTTATTACAATTTCCATCCTCGAAATTAACTCCATTTTCAATACAGCCATTTAATTTGTTATTTTTCTCTCTTATCTTATCTTGGTATTCCATAACATTTTTTTCTAATTGTCGCATTCTCTCTTCAGCTTCTAATAACTGCTTGGAAGCTTCATCTGTTCTTGTTTCAAT